TCTGTTCAGACTTCTTGGTCTTCTTAATCTTGTCGATCAGTTCCGAGAGTTTGAATTCGGCCACAATTTTCGACACAGCGGCCAAATGCACGCTCTTTCCCGACAACAAACCCCTCAGCTCTTCGATAAGCTCTTCGCTGTAGATATTCCTCTCGAGCCATATGTTGAACACGCGATCAATGGATGCACTGATTTTATCCTCTATGCAAAGAGCGGTGGCTTTCTTGAGATAATCTGCGAAGTGATCCACGAATTGTGGGAAACCTTTGCGTTTGGCGTGTTGTATGACATCGTTTGCCAAATAAAAGAGTGTCAATCGATGGCTTGATTTGGCTGAAGACACGCACAGACACACGTCAGACATGAGACAATCAATGGTAAGTCAAAGACAATCAATGGTAAGTCAAAGACATTACAAACCTTTATGGAAGCAATTAAACCAAATGTGAATAATCCTCTTGTAGTGAGTCTTGTGGTGAAGGATCCAAAGTGAGAGACCTTGGATACTGTCCTGAGAATTGGTCACAACCGCCAACTTCTTCTCCAGACTGATCTCATTCAGTGACATCTCAGACCATAACAACTCATTCACCGATCAATCAATCAATTCGTGAGCTAAAAGTGTTTCAACACAAGTAAATGACCGAAATTGGGATCAATTGTCTGGAGAGGTGGTCATCACTGAGTGGTGACACTCGTGACACAAACAATGCATTCACTGATAACACACACAATGAGTGATGTATTCATGAATTGAATTAATTGTTGTTTAAATTAATTATATTTTCGCCATATTTTCAATACATTGCCAAATGTTTTGTGTTTTGTTTGCACCCAAGTGTAGAGGTGTTCACCGGACACACAGGCATTGCTGTGAAACACTGTATTATAAGACGTGTGCTATTATTATATGATATATGAATCCCGAGTTTGTATAATCTTGTCATTCATTCACTCAAATGCTTCTGTATTATAGGTACTGTTAGAAAATATTCTTTCATACCTGTACTACTGTATCATAATCAATAAGTTACATTGAATAGTATAATCATATTCATATATTAATGCCATAACTCTTATTCGTTTTGTACTTTCTATTCAACCGGTAGTAGTATTGAATGACTGAGGAATTTAAGACATAGATATTGATACCACTTCCAAGTTCTTGGTCATAATCAAGTAATATGTTAATTAGACCAGAGTTTTTTAGGGTGAACACTTATCATCATTTTGTGAATAATTATTTTTATAAGATTTATATATTAATAAAGTTTATATATTTTTAATTTAAAAGTTTTAATGCATTTTGTCAAAAATAACTCATTAAATGTCAATATGAATAACAGTAACAATAAATCATTCTTAAAGGAAAAAGTGATTTCAATGGCTTAAGGAATCAATTATTAATTAATTAATTAATTAATTAATGATTTAATTTTGAAAAAAGTTAATATAAGTGGTTTCATAATGTTTAATATTAAGGAATATTCTATAAAATTGAACTATAATTCTAGACATATTTAATTTGTGATTAATTATATAGTATCATATAATTTATATGAATCAAAGTCTCCACAATAAAAGGGAGTTCCTTGCCTTTCATAGCCAAATGATTATAAATAATTTAATTGTATTTTTATGTCATTAATTTACAATATAAACATAATATCTTTAGAATTATAAAAATTAAATATTAATTTTATAGAATATTCTATTGTACAGTACTACACAATTATTAATAATACATTTAGATACCACATACAGTAAGGTATTTGTGTTTATTCTAATTCACTCTATTCTAGTGTACTCATACATATTGATATAAATGTAAGTATAAGTATAACTTTACATTGTTCATAATTATGATATTTTTAAGAAAGGCAATTTATTAGTAATGTTTGTAAAATTTAAATCTTAACATTAATTAAAAGTGGTGTCTATTTGAAATGACAATTCAATGATCCATGATCCAATTCAATGAACGTTGTCTCGGATACTTTGCTAACAACTAATTTTATTCACAAATTATACCCTAGCTCTCGACGAAGACCCAGGCACCAATAGTAAGTCTAATATAGTTTTAAAATATAAGAATTTTGTAAGTTCTATGAAAATTGCATTGTTAAAACTTTTTATAATACTATAATAAATTTCGCTAATTTTATAACTATAAAAGTAAGTGAATTAAACTTCCAATCTATTTTATTAGAGGTTTTCTTTAGTATCTTCATTGATAATTCATCAAGGTTTATTACATCAAGGTTTTTATTATTATAGATTTTTAATATAATATTTACAGATTAACAATAATTCATACTTATTTGCTTTTTAAAACATCAATTATTAATAATAATTTATTATACAATATTCTAATTCAGTTCAAAGTAACTTTTCTACTTGTTGATACTAACTTGTAAGACTTAAGACAAAGCCATTTTAAATTTTATTAATAACAGTTATTTATCATGCAATATTATTGATTTAATGTATTTTAGATTTTTATTAGCTTTAAGAATTTAAAAACAAACGTTTAAATAGAGTTAATATTTAGAAGTAAGTGATGCCGTATAGAGCATACTCTGTACAGTACAGTGCAGTATAACAGGAAAACATCGATACAATGAGACATAATATGTTTGTTTAAACATCAGAAGAGATGGTTGATTGAGAGAAGTTTGGAGAGAATGTAGTGAAGTGCGGGTGCATTGAAGGGAAAGGCGGCTAAAGAGCCAATTGATTGAGAGCTAAACCCAATAAACTGTTATGAATGGGAGGAAAATGAGTTCTATTGAGTCGCTTAAGAGCTGATAATAGGAGCAGAAGACGACCGAAACGAAGCGTTAATGAAGTGGGAGTTGTGTTGGAAGTGATGGTGTGTTGGATCTGTTCGTAGAGAAGTATCTGTGCCTCGTCTTGCATTGACCTGATGTGCTCACCATTGGACAGACCACCACATTCTGCACACAATCACAATCAATACAAATATATAATGAAATTAAGTTTCAATACAATTCGTTATTAGAGTAATACTATACTTTAGTAACTATAGCATTGGACATACATTGAGAATTGACTAGGGTAAATGTGAAGATGTAACACATGAATGAATAGTAATTGATAGAGCAATGCATAGCAATGTGAGTGATCAATGAGAGCAATACATACCGGGTCTGAACAGTAGAAGCACTTTAAGACATGTGAATTCAATTTGGTTGATGTGAAGACTTTTCACGTACTCTATTATATCCGAAAGCTTTCTCTGTTCTAAACTATGAGTGAAATAGTTGTTCAAAACCAAAACCGTATAATTAGTGCTATCAGTGTTTAAACTAATGGTTTGTTGCATTATTGTCAGGATTAACATCTCGTTTAGGGTTTCCTCCAAAAGTAGCTTCTGATCGTTTTTGTCCAGTGCTTGAAATGCTGGTATACTTAGTGCCCAATGAACTTATAGCCCAACAAATGTCAGTAAATGGTTAGAAAAGAGTATATATATCAACTCACAATACAGTACAATACAATAAAGTATAGAATAAACTGTAAGACCTATAAATTCTAGCATAGATATTATATAGCAATGTATCGAAGTAAAAGTGCATACCTGTGCTGAATATGATTCTTGTAATCTGTGTGAATGTATTTGAAGTGATGGCATAATAATTGGGAGAATAGATTGAAGACAAGTGTGTGGAGGACAAGGAAGTGGTCCACTGTAACGATGGGAGTGATGTGGAGTGAGACATGGGAAGAGAAGTGGGAGCAAAGGGTGTCCCCAAACATAGTGGTGATGTGGTAGAGTCGGCCACCACTGGGTTCACAGGTTTGTTGCTTAAGGTTTGAGTGTTGTTTGAATGACTAGCTCTTAGACATAGTTTTGGAGAATTCCTGTTGTCGGCCATACATTTGGTTAGAAATCTTGAACTATTTCCACAACTTTTAGTATTTGTATTGCAATTAATTCTCTCGTGTTGTACGGCTTTAAAGTGGCAAAAGTGTCACAAAAATTTGTGAACACAATCAGGGAATGTGAACACAAACAAAAAAGTGGACATGAAATATAATTTTATTTTAGAAACTCTTTGAACAATATTGACTTAAGTCGAGACAATATTTACCCTCTCTTTTCATATTGACTGCAAAGATAGGAGAAAAACTTAAACCTATAATTTGAACACAAGTGTCTCCGTAATACCTGAAAGACATTTCTGAAATCGACAATGTTGACATTGATTTCGCGATGAGACATCGATAAAGCAAACACCGCTCTCTTTGCACGAGTAGATTAGGTTACGGCGAACCGACCGCTTAATTGAGTCACAATTTCAGATCAAATAAAAGTATTTAGTATTAGATTTAGTATTAGAAAAAGATTTAGTATTAGAATTGTTTGGAATCCTAACTTAGGATTGAATCTTATGTTAACTTTGAAAACTTTTCAAATATACTTTTTTATTTATTTAATCTTTTAATACTTATAAATATGAATTATTTATATAATTTCAAATGAAACGAAATAAAATTCTACTAATCATTCATTTATTAATAACATTTATTAGTAATTTAAAACTTTGCGATAAGACTAAAACAAATGATATATCAATGATTAAAATTAAATAAGTAATACAAATGAGACAAATATTATACAAACCTTAAAGAACCCTCGACAACCATCGCAGCTGGTCACACCATAATGTTTGCCTGAACACACAAACACATATCTTATAAAACTTTGTAACAATGTAATCAAAACAGTAATTTAAATAAATGATTACAAACCTGATGCCCGATCGCCACATACTCGGCATAACTGTACGCTTATATCTTGCTTCGAGTGAGACATTGGTTTATGAAATGTTCACTGTATTTGAATGCGTGTCGGAGACCAAAGTGGTGTCACTTTGATTTGAAAGTGAATACAGAATTAACTCTGAGATACAAGTGTACGAGTGAAGAGCGAAGTGATGGGAATCGTAGCACTTGTTGATCCCCTACTACTACAGACTCTTTTCACACTTTGAAAAGTTGTGAACCAAACTCTCAATAGACTATAACCGCCTCTTTAAGCATTTTATACTCACTTTGTTGTGCCTCCGCTTTCGTTTAACAAAAGAAAAGTGAATTTTTTTCAATAAAAAGCAAATTTGCAAATAAGTTATCACTTGTTGTCACTATAGACCAAAGAATATAATTAACTTTTATGTCAATTCGATTGTTAAGCGTTACACTTATGATCATAGGATTGGTATGATATATGAGATACCATTTAGAGGGTAGTCATGCGTTATGAATATGTGTCTCAATCCATATACAGAGCTGTGTTCTACTCTGTCCTATACTTGACAAACCATGTCCTCAAAGAAATCGACAGAATTTACAGAATCCGAGTCATTCTGTCCCCGTGTCAGCCCTCTTCGCGCACTCATCACTTTTCATACCTTTTTAGTCTCAATCTGTGAATATTTCCATATGTTTTAAATGGAGTTCTCGTGTAGTAATTGAGTGCAACAAAAGTGGTGTTTCATAGACTAAGTCAAAATCATCCACTCTTTGACTGTTCGTCACTTCACTTTCGCTTTTATTACATTTAATACAATAGAGATTAAGAGCACAATTGTACTCACATTCACAGCCCATATAACAGTGCTCTCGCTTTACGCCGACTGTTAAACCACTTTTAATATCAAATAAAATACTTATAGGACTTAAATACTTAAAACCAGATGAAATTCATACAAAACTAAAAGTATAGCATTTATTTGATAGCAATCAATACATTATTTCTCGGCGACAGAATTGGATCAAACAGTGGGAAGAGTGCCGTTTGAATGCCTTCCTCTTTGAGGTAATTTATAAAATCCAATAAAATTAAGGATTCAATTAATGGTGCGATTAATAGTCTCAGCGAATAAAAGATAACAACATTCTTCTGTTGCTCCAAACATTTCCGCACAAAACTAGAGTCCAATTCTTCTTCGGGTATCACTATATCTAAGCCTTCGATTGTTTTATGAAAATATTCTGAAAAACTCATCTCATCTGTGATTTTAACTCTTTTCAATGCTCTGTGTCTTAAATGTGGTGAGAATTTGTCAATCAGTGCCTCAGCAATGGCACGCAAACAGTGTACTCGCAATGAGTGCAGTTTATCTGTTAATTAAACCATAGATTCATATAATTTACTAATTTGTAAACAAAATTAGTGCATGATATACCGTACATACCGTTAGTCTGGAGTTTATGAACAAACTTTTCAATGGCATGACATGCTACTTCTTTGGCCTCATAGCTAAGACATTTATAAGGCATTGATAAGTTCTTAACCAATTTACTCACTGGAAAACTGTATATTAATGAAAAAAATAATATTATAATAAATAGTGTGTTTGTAAGAGTGAATGATTGTATTGAATGCAAACCTATTGCTATCGATTTTCATGTAACAACAACTCACTAAAAGCAAGGCTTTGGCAGAATTGCATTCTTTGAGTTGATTGAGAATTATGGTGGAGAGGGGTCCACACGCGTGAAGACCTAACAACAGGTGATTGTCACTGTTTTGTGTCACTTCACTAATCGATGAGTCCTTTTGTAGCAAACAATTGACTTTTTTCGGAAAATCCAAATTCAATCTATCGGTGAGTTTGTATCGCTTCAGACTATTCAATGTATTCATGTCTTTGTGTTGTGCGCCCAACACATTGTCGTCATTGCCTTCAATGCTGATCACGTCGTAACCGAAACATAGGCTCAGAATGCGAGACAAGTGTCCCTGACCTGACCCACAGTCCACTATAGTCTTGCAATCGCACATCCCTTTCAACAAATGATCGGTCAGTTTGGAAAGGCGTCTAATTTCATGCCTTTTCTTATGCTTGACCCGTCGGTTCAGGATCTCGGTCTTCATGTTCGGGTGATTCGAGTCTTTGAGCTCTGAATCCAATTGTTGAGTGCTTTCAGAAAAATGACTTTTTGGGAAAATTATAGAAGAGTCGGGACTCCATTTGCGGGTCAACTGAAGGGCAGAACAGGTCGCACGAAGTGATAGCAAACTCAGTGGTAAAACACATTTGAATTTAGATTCAGAATCAGTTGATAAAAGATTTGGTATGTCTTTCAGTTCAAAATCTTCGAGACAATGAGACCACGATTTGGGAACTTTTGACCAGTGGTTGTCCACAAAGTAATCCTATATTACATTTAAGTTCAATATTGAATGAGTAATTATATTTACATTAATTCTAATAATAAACTCTGGTATAGAGAATATAATACAGTATTACATATTATTGTTGTGCACTGTACAGTAATGTGAATTTAAAACATTAACTGCAATCAAATCAATGATTCATGAATGTACTGGCGAAAACATCGTGAACATAGTGCCACCGTATATACAGTACTATATACTGTACGGTACTGTAGTATAGGTTTATAACAGGTCTTTCCTATCACATTGATTTTATTATGATATTCAGAATATATTCTTTTGAATCATAACTTAAGTTATATAATATAACAAAACAATTACCTAAATTATTGTCAATTCAATGTACATTAATACACATCTCAATCAGTTACTTTTGCTTAATTTGCAGTGTACTGCACTAAAGTAAGAATACGGGGTCAAAAGGGTTACCAAATACTGTATGTATTCAATTATCCAAATAATTATTATCTTGTTAATCAATTGACATTAATTTGATAGTTATCTTGTTATATGAATTTTACTGCACTAAAGTAAGAATACGGGGTCAAAAGGGTTACCAAATACTGTATGTATTCAATTATCCAAATAATTATTATCTTGTTAATCAATTGACATTAATTTGATAGTTATCTTGTTATATGAATTTTATTTTTTGTAGCTAATTATTTGTAAATAGTATTGATACACAATATTATACTATAAATTGCTATATTTTACTTTTAAAATGAATTCTCAGCACTTGTCACACACTCATCGCATACAATAAAATACTTTGCAATACAGTATTAATAGTCAATATTTAAGTATAATTTTGATCATTTAAAAAACCCTTAATTTTTTGTTGGAAAGGGAGGGGGGGTTTGATTGTGTATGAAATCCGTGTCCCCCCCAAACCCTCCAAATATAAAGCACACAAACTTCAGATGTGATCAACATTTAAGCCATGCTATACATTCAAAGCACATCCCATCTCCTCCTAAGCCATTAGGTAGTGTCTAACAGGTTTGGGGGTGGGGTGGGACAGAGTGATCAAGGTGGCGCTCGCACGTGACTGCTATGACCATAGATATTGAAAATATCTAATTCTGGATCAATTCCAAGAACATTTATTGGTCCCTTGAGAATCAAATTTTTGGTTTTTCCTCATATCAACAACCATAAGAACTGTGTAGAAATTGTACCAGGGTAACAATGATTTATATAATTTTATAATTAACATGCTTTAATTATAGTCATTATAACGTAATACAGTATGAATTGAATGAATAATTACCACATTATAGACATCTATAAGCCATTCATACTGAGAGACCACACGATATAAGCATTTGATGTGAATCTCATCCCTCGACTGATTGGCATCCAATCGGTTGTATTCAAACATATTGTCCACAAATAAGTCAATACATTGGTAAATGATCACAACTTGACCTGGATCAATTCATTATACACAACACGGTATGTTTGACACGTGACATGAATGACGTGTTCACTACATACTGTATTTTATTGGTGCACTTATTCACCGGTATCATATGTTCTAAAAGTTTGCCCATGGTACAGTGCCCACTCAATATGATCAGGGTCATATAGAACAGGGGTATTACTGCAATTGACACAATATGACACCACCCTGTTCAATCCCTCGCAAAATACATGATATAAAAGTTTATTTCAATAAAACAATTTCATTACAATAATGAGTCTACTGTTGGATCAGTTGTAACCGATATATAACGAGTCTCCCGAAGAGGTCATACATATGATTGAATGTAATGTTGAGATGAGTGGTCACACAATCGGGTAATCCATCAAATGTCTGCAAACCGTTGCAATCGTTTGCGTAGACGTCTGTTTGGGTCAACACTTGCTTCTGGGAGTCCAAGAACTGAATGGTGATGTGTTTGGCAGCGAATCCGCCCTGAAATTCAATGCATATACTTCTTAGACGCACATCTCGTTTCAGTTTACATTCAATCCATTGAACGCTTCCCTAAGTGACAATCACAACAACTTTTGAGACTATCATATGATATGAGAATAAACTAATGGTTAGCTGTGAAGATGATTATGAGTGATGTGTCCAATGACCACACGTTGTGACCAATAAGCGGTCGCATACCTGGTCTGAGTTCCAAGAGGTGTCTTCCTTGCCATCGATGAGGAACTGTTTGCCAAACTGTTTGACATCTTTGTTGAGCACTGAACTCACTCTACCATCAAATCAAATATAATTATCATATCATTGTATCATTTGTTAGCATTTTAGTCATTACTTGAGTTCAATATCTTGGGAATCGATTAGTGACATGAGTGGTGACCACAAGTGCTTCGGGTGTCAAGAATGGCATCAATTGGTGAAGTGATTGCTGTGAAGAGTGGTCATTGAATGGCAAACTGTCGCCTGTGTTGCCACTCGTGAGCACATCATTGATGGCAGAGTTGTTGTGATTGTGTTGCTGTCAGTCATTGACTGCTGTATTGATTGTGTGGACAGAGTTTGATGCCATCACTCATTGTCTGTATCACCGATCGCTTCCAACACTTCCATTGCGTGTCTCACCAGTAGAGGTAAGCCATCATTTGGTTGCGTGGATGACATGTCACCACCTCATGGGTGATGTCTTGCGGGAGTTCTTCATTTGTGTCAACTATTTGTCTGTAAATTGCAATTAAAGTGTTTATTCAATGAATGAACAGATAATCGGATGACTGAATGGATCCGTCTCTGAATGACAAATATTTAAGTCCTTTTGTATATTGGGGTCAAACCAGTGATCAAATCAGTCTGAAGATCGATCTGAAGAATGTTAAGGTTTTATCATATGAACCATTGTTTGCAAACGAGTACTCATTATCTACTCTTTACCATCAATTAGTGTCCGTTAATTGATTTGAAGGAAAGCAGTCTTCAGTTCTATGGATCAGGTATTGGAGCCAAAGGTCTCAATGAATACGCTTTTCTCATCCAATTCTACACTGAAGTGAATCCCAAAGTATACTTCAAATCATATGATAACTGCTTTCATGTCACTAATAATGCATTCATTTCTTATGATTATATTCCAAAGGTCTCAATGAATACGCTTTTCTCATCCAATTCTACACTGAAGTGAATCCCAAAGTATACTTCAAATCATATGATAACTGCTTTCATGTCACTAATAATGCATTCATTTCTTATGATTATATCACATCCAAAGGAAAGCTTTTATAAACTCAATGACAGACACATCGAGTTTGTCATTAGGAAGAAGTCACACGTGTTATGGCCACGACTCTTGTCATCAGTGGTGAGACCGCAATGGATTAAAGTAGACTTCGATCGCATCCAACCCGAAGATGAGTCCGACATCGATGACAATTCTATGGATAAAGAGTTCGATGAATTGGTTCCTAACCAACAGAACTCTTATCGCAATTTCGGTCAAAAAGATTTCGGTCGACGAAAAAAGTCTATGAATAAAGGCTTCAAAGGTTTGTCACTTCGTGTCGATTCTCTGGATATTTCACATGAATCGTGAATTTGTGTCATTATTTCAGTCGAAGATTTCAAGAAAACATATCTCTTTCTCTACAATTTGTTTCAATTCGTGGGTTTTGTTTATGTGTTTCTCATTGTCACCATTCGTTATCCAAAGGTCTCAATGAATACGCTTTTCTCATCCAATTCTACACTGAAGTGAATCCCAAAGTATACTTCAAATCATATGATAACTGCTTTCATGTCACTAATAATGCATTCATTTCTTATGATTATATGACATCCATATATGACATCCATATATGACATCCATATATGACATCCAAAGGAAAGCTTTTATAAACTCAATGACAGACACATCGAGTTTGTCATTAGGAAGAAGTCACACGTGTTATGGCCGCGACTCTTGTCATCAGTGGTGAGACCGCAATGGATTAAAGTTGACTTCGATCGCATCCAACCCGAAGATGAGTCCGACATCGATGACAATTCTATGGACAAAGAGTTTGATGAATTGGTTCCTAACCAACAGAACTCTTATCGCAATTTCGGTCAAAAAGATTTCGGTCGACGAAAAAAGTCTATGAATAAAGGCTTCAAAGGTTTGTCACTTTGTGTCGATTCTCTGGACGTTTCACATGAATCGTGAATTTGTGTCATTATTTCAGTCGAAGATTTCAAGAAAACATATCTCTTTCTCTACAATTTGTTTCAATTCGTGGGTTTTGTTTATGTGTTTCTCATTGTCACCATTCGTTACATTAAAGACGGTTCCCGTAAGTGATTACCAATTGTTGTAATAATACCATAATACTAATTAGTAGTCATTTATATCATTTTGATAATTATTTGGTGATAAGAATCAACTGAAAGCGTATACCAATTGGTCGGAAAAGTTATGAAGTTTTTACATTTGATGCAAATTCTGGAAATTCTTCACCCATTGATGGGATACACATCTGGAAGTCCTATAATGCCTTCCATTCAACTCTCTGGTCGAGTGTTTTTGATTTTCTTTATGATTGATTCTGAGCCCAAAATTCAAGCAAACGTTTGGGTTTTATATCTATTTTTTGTTTACACTTTGGTTGAAATGATTCGGTAATTGAAACGATTCTTATATCTATTAAATACGTTATGTTTTAAAGTGATATTTGTTGTCAGATATCCATATTACATGCTTCACGTATTTGGTGTGAACATTGGATTCCTTACTTGGGTTCGGTATACCGCTTGGGTATTGCTCTACCCATTGGGTTTCATCAGCGAAGGTTTGTCCACTCAATGCAGTCATACTTAAAGTACTAATATTTGAACGCAACAATTGATTTGTGCAAAAAGGTGTCATTTTGTTCAATAATATTGTGTATTTGGAAGAGAGCCGACGATTTTCCATTGATTTGCCAAATGATCTGAACTTTTCATTCCATATGCCGACAATTATCAGACTCTACCTCTTAGTTGGATTGTTCCCTGGTCAGTCTATATTCATGTTGATTTGCAATCATTGATAACTTACTATACATTGTACAATATATTGATTAATGCGGTAATTTGTCATCCCTTACAGCTCTATATTATATGATGAGCCATATGTATAGACAACGAATTAAAGTACTCAATACTAATCGCTCCAAAAGTAAAGTTCATTAGACGTTAGCTTTTGAAGCATTCGAGTCGTGGATCAAACAGTAGACGACTTTTTACTTCAATTCTTGACATTCTTTATATTGACAATCGATTTATTGGATTTATGAATATATAATCATATTATAATCGATTATAAACTTAAAGTTTAGATGAAATGCAATACAAATATAAGTCATATGCAGACGCTTTAATCAAATAATTTACAAGATATTTAATATTCTTTAGACTTTAGGAATATTTTATCTCTTTTTTAATTGTATGAAATATATTGTTTTTTGTGTTAGAGTTGTTTTTACTTTTTTATATAAGAATTAATTTTAAAACATATTGTTATTTAAGAATATCTTAAAATATTTCACTTTTATTGATTAAAATATTAATTTTAAAACTGGATGAGTTTCCATTTATTTATTAAAGTATAAAATGTTCAAATAAATGGACGAAAATATAAATGATTATGAAGTTATTCTATATTTTCACAACTGTTTATTATGAGACAATAATAAGTTTGGTTTTTATGAATAGGAAATACGAAACGCCTTTCAGTACAATTTATTCTGTCATTAAATGTTTATTTTTATCTGTTTTATTCATTTATAATCATTTATAACTTTCATTTTTATACGAGTCAATCTTCTCTATATTTTAAAAATTGGTTCAAAATATTTATATATCTATTAATAGAATCTGAAAACAAATTCCGAAAAATATGCGACCAATAGTGCACTACTCTATACTATTTTGAATTGCTTGACGGAAAGGAAGTGTAAAGCATTAAAAAAAACATTTAAAAAACTTCAAAAATATGTGGTTCTCTTTTGGAAAAAAGATTAAAATAAAATAATATTGTTTGGGATATTTATATTCATACATTATTGACTTAGAGTGAGGTGTGAAAAATTAACCGTAAAGTTCTTTGTATGAATTTAATTTATAAAGTTAACCACAAATACAATACCGTAATTAGTCGCACAAATTATTAATTAATTATACTGTAGTTGGGTTGGGGTTGGGCTCACTCTCCCCATTGAGAGGGCAACTAATGTGAGACATCTGTCAATAAATAGATAGGAAAGGGAGAGACTGAGAGGGAAAGGGAGAGAGAGGAGAGTGAGAAAAGTTGGGAAAGTAGTGTTGGCTGGGACTGGGAGTTGGAACTGACATTTGGTGTGCTGTTTGCAACTTTGGAGGCATGTATGCCATGCAATGCAATGCCAGGTGAAGTGAAGCCAGTTTTATCACTGATCCCACGATCGCTCTGTTATGTCAACGGAAACTGAAATACGTTGAGAGAGACAGACATCCAAACACTGACTGACGGCAACACATTTGAACACAACTTCACAATCCATTCACAACTCATTGCAATCATATTCACTATATTTGACTTAAAATATTTTTAAAAATTGATTTCTCTCGTCTTATCGAAAGTTCTGATAGAAAACGAGTTGAATGTTAACCCATTTATCTTACAATTCGTCCCATTTCTCAATAAAAACAATTTTAAAGTTCAACAAAAAAGTAGATTTTATTCGTATAAAACATAAGTTGTGCCAAATTTGTATAAAACTGTTTGCAATCGTTTAACTTTTAGATTAGTTTTGTTTTTGTCGTGAATCGTAAGGAAAGTTTCTGACAAAAATCGTAGAAATTTAATGACATCTAAGTGACAATTAATGGATTTATAAATGAACGTAAGTTTTCATAAGATTTACATATATTTAACTCAAATGAAACCGTAAGTGAAGCCATTTCATGATTCAATATTTAATTAAATTAAATTAAATGGATTCAGTTTTATTTAAAACAAATATTTAAGACTTAAATTTTAAGTTATTTGATGTCATGACTAATATTTAGCGCCTTTTGAAGCATAGCTGGCGAGTAAGCGACGACTTATTTGAATAAAAGTTTGTTTAGTATTAGAAAGCCTTATATAATATTAGGCAAAATGTCGAACACATAACACATTCCTATGCCTGCCGTTGACCTCTCGTAAGCCAAACAAGTTATCGGTCTATATATGAGATTTCATTTATTATGAATTCAATCAAAATTAAATCAAACATTAAAATCAGTCACTTTTAAATCACTTCCTCTCTCTCTCTCATTCACACATTCACTCATTCTTTCGTATTATAATAAACACTTGAATAACAAATACAAATCGGTGCTGACCTACAAACTAATATTTTTTATATAAAAGCTCTTTTACTCTTCGTATTTATAAAACTCACTTTAATTTTATTTAACAAATAAGTAATACTAAACTCGGTACTAATGCATTATTTAATTTTTATTTTTACAAATACTGGGAATGTCTATTGGTGACTTATTACTTTATTATAAATATTTATTTGTAAAGAAATATTTACGGCATACCATCATAGATATAATGAGTAAGAAATTGCACTTTTAATGAAAAAAGTTTTAAATTAAATATTATTAGTATTCAAAAAGTGTCTAACAAAACTAAAAAGGTTTGCTTACCTTTCAAATGTTTGAGAAATGTGTTTAAAAAATTATACAATTAAATAATTTATAATATCCATCTCAAGAATTCATTATCAATATAATGATGCCAATAGATTTATGCCTTAAAATGGTCTGTTTTATAATCACATTTGTGATCTTTAGTGAAATTTCAATATACCATAGAAGTTGTGCTTTAAATATACCCAAAGATTGTACGGTATATTATACTGTATTGTTGGTATAGTACTAGAAAAAGGTAGGGAAGGGACCAAATTCTATAGCACAGCTGTCAATGTTATGTATTCAATACATTGTACAGTATTAATAATCGTATCCTAACAAAATACCGAAAAACAAAACCTCAAAATACCAAACCCCGAAAAACAAAACTCCCGAAAGCAATAATCCCAAAATTGTAATAATTATATAAATAATTATTTATCCTGAATTTAAAACTTAATAATACTTAAAGAATAATTAATTATCAGTTAGTTAGTACTTTAAAACTCAGCAAATTATTACAATATTGAAAAGTTGATGAGATATTTACTTACAAGTATGACACTAATTAGGTTTTAAATACTTATACTAATAATATTAATGAGTTTTACATTATATAAAATATAAAATAATTATTTATATAGATATTATAATTTTCGGGATTATGTGTTTCGGGATTTTGTTTTTCGGGGTTTTGTATTTTGGGGTTTTGTTTTTCGGGATTTTGTGGGACTCCTATTAAAAATATATACGGTACTCAGATTCTATTATATTGTACTGTATATTAATACAGTTATAGAACGGTATTTGTTAGTATAGTATAAGATAATACAGTATATGCTTATAAATTGACCGTACGGCATATGATAAATTAGTCAAATAAATGATTAGTACTGAAATGTTGAGGTATGCATATTCTATGTCATTCTGATAAATTCTTAGCACTTAAAATTTTTAGATGCTATATGCTTATAAATTGACCGTACGGCATATGATAAATTAGTCAAATAAATGATTAGTACTGAAATGTTGAGGTATGCATATTCTATGTCATTCTGATAAATTCTTAGCACTTAAAATTTTTAGATGCCCTATCAATTTTCTTATAGTATTACACTAATACATTTATTAATATAGTCAACCAAAAACTTATTTGCCAATTTTGTAGCTTTATAATCCAAAGTTTTAATAAACACAGGTACATAATTTGTTATATATTTTATACAAAACATTCTAGAAAAGTGCTGTATATTATATAATACGAGTTATAAAATTGCTTCAAAATTATGAATTTTAAAATTGACATTATATTTAAAACATTTTCAAATACAGTTTTAATACTAAAATAATATATTATTATTTATATTATAAATGAGATAATATGTTCCCATCGATCGAATAATTTATATCATTCAAAGTTTTCAATAAAATGCACACTTTTTTAATCATTTATTATAAATTATTATATTATTATATTATATATAAGTTATAATTTAATATAATATAAAAGACTAAACATTCAATTCATATTATATAATAACAAATAAAGCAAACATATATTTTATTAATTGAATAAACATTTGAAAATAATATTTGTATTATGTAAAAATAGGTGTTTTAAATGTTAAGATTCAGATGAGTGAACAAATGTACAAATATTTGCCCAGATAATTTATTCTCTATTAAATTCTTGTACTGAAAACAACATTCTGTTTGGATTATTGAAATATTTCAATCATCTCTTAAAATCTTGTCTATAATTATCCAATTATTTAATTAAAATTCAAATTTTACAGCTTATGTCCCTCGGGGGCCAAAGTATATTATAACGACTCGACTGTGAACTTGAGATCATCCCTAATAAGTGGACAAATCTATTATCAAAAGTAATTTTCCAAAAATTTCGCAATCAATTGAAGATGAGTTCAAAATTATGCTGACATTACTATTTGGATCAATAAATTAAACACTTATCACAAACACGCAAATAATCACATATTTATTAAATGCCGGGCAATAATAATACATTATCTCCGACACACACTTCCCATTATAACTACGAGAGAGTGGGCACCGTTTCGCCCACTTTGGCATCACTGGTACACAATGGCCATCATCCGCATCATCAGTCATCCACATTACATAACACACACAAAATGAACGGAAATATATCATCACGTAATATGAATGCCATACGTTATCCCAACAGTAACGGAATCTCTCCGTTAAAAATATCGCCAAATATGACAAATACAGCGAATATAAGCCAATTATCAAATGCCAAACAACCACTTCTGGATATCTCGCGAACGGCAACCAACTTACAAACTAGTCCTCAACTCAACGGTTCCCGATTGGGACCCCACTCTCCAAAAGCCAGTAATGACTATTCAAACAGTGATTCTGTAATCAGTGAACACGGACTCCACGAAGTGTTGGCCTCATTGGCACTCATGTGTCTCTTATCACTATTGATGGCATTCTTAGCCCTTTTCTTTCTGCAGCGGACGTGTCCTATAAGTGGACTGACAGACGGTTCAGATAATGTGGAAAACGGTTCCAAAGTTGTTCACAAAAATCACAACAGAATCGTTAGCACTCCTAAAGAATATCATCGCGTCTTTCAAATATCAGTTTCATTGAGTACTTTAACCATATCTTTAGACCTCTGCTGTCTGTTTGTGTCATGCATTCAATTTTTATCTGCCGTTAAATTAATGAAAACCCCATTTGGCAAAAAACGGTAAGTTTCCACACAAAACAATTCAGTTTCAAGTGATTGATTGTGGCTTAAAAATATGCATTTACTGTAATATTATATGCATTTTGCAGAACATTTGAATTTCTAAAGAAGACATCGCATATCCGAGTGGCAGCTGTCGGCGCTTTCCTCATCTCAATCCCCATCTTCTTCACCGGTAACTTATTCTCAAAGTTTAAATATGTTTAAAGTAATGACAACTAACTGTAATACCATTTCAACCATTTGTCTACAATAGGGGTAATTCTGTTTACTTTCGTAAACTTCGATGAAGTGCCAGCTCTGGCCACTAGTGTTATCATAGGGTTAGCCATAGTTTTCTGTGGAATTGCTTCCGTCCAAAATGTATATCTATGGCAGGTATGGCACTCAATACTATTACAGTAATTATTATTTCGATATGAAAATTAATTTCTATTTATTGCTGAAGTGGGAGAAAACGAAAGCGAGTCAAGAAATGTCTGAAAGTCGTATCATTCACTTAAGAGATTCCGGTTATCTACCAACCATTGAATTGTCAACTTTGGTTTGATTTATAAATTATAATGTTTTAAAATATGTTATACTTGTATAGATTTTTGGTACAAAAAAACGTTAATATGTTAAATCTATTTAAACTTAAAGTAAATTCAAAAATTTATAAATGAGTCACAACATAAGGGTAATTAATGCAGTTTTATATCATTTCAGCATAAGTCACATTATATACAGTTATTTATTACCAATCCATTATAAACTGCATTTCCAAACAATTATCATTTATAAGCAATGATATTATGATAATATTTCAATAAAATATTTACACAATTGTTTTAATATTGAATTAAATAAACAATCCTTGATATCTTACGGTAAATCATATCAATTTATTGTGGCAATCGATAATAGCAATCAAATAAATGTGGTTTCAGTTATACCGGTATTAGAGACCAGTCACCATCACATCTATGCAATTATTTGTACATCAATATGACATGGATTAACTAACTATAATCAAAATATTGGTCACTTGTTTGGTTACTCAGACAATGACATGGATTAAGTGTCACAAACATTATCAACTTGATAGCACTTACGGTTAAACCAACTGAAAGTTTATTAAATCAAAACTAAAATAATAAGAAAATACACAACAAATAGACATTTATTTACGTTTAGACTTAAGTCTCTTGACTTTGCGTTTGTTTTGTTGCTTTTTGACGTGTCTTTGATTCATCCATTGAGGATAGTGTCCGAACTCATCCAACAGCTTCGGCTTCGGGGTCACCACCGACTCACTGCCAGTCGTCTCCATCGTGTCCACCGGCACCTCCTTCTCACTGCCGATGCTCTTCATTACTATGTCTTTGTCTTTATCTACCATTTATGACAAACCATTCAATCAATCACTTATTCATTCAAACCAATCCAATCAAAGCAAACCATTATTGGTGTCCTTTTGTTGGCTTTTAT